AACTAACAAACTGTAAAAGATTGAAATTTCTTTATGGGCCGTATTCAGAGTCGCAACTTAAACAAGGACCTAAGACGGTCTTGACTAAGATCGTCTTATTCGAATAAGCAATGCTTAATTCGCTATGTATTCACAGTCGGCGAATAAGACCGACTTAGTTGAGGAAGCGATGCTTAAGCTTTGCTTACTGAAGTCCATGCTTAAGCAATGCTTATTTGACGTTCGGCTATTTCCGTCGATTCCCTACTGTAACAACCAATCAAAATGATTTTTGAAACTGTAGCATTATTTGTTAGTGCCGCGCTTTTTGAATTGAATTTTAACGCTATCGCTTGAATTAATTCAAATAATTGAGCGAGCGATAGACAGAGCTAAATTTATTAAGAAAAAATCAATTCAATTGAAAATGTAACAATTTTATTATTAATGTTATCACATACGTTATAAAAATCTCTTATATTTAAAGTTTCATTCTGAAATACGAACACAAAATAACATAAAATTAAACTTACGATTGAAATTACTGGTTCAAGGTATAGGTTGTGATTTGACTGAGGATGAAGGTATTTTAATCAATAAATTAAACCAATTTGAGTCGAAAGGATAATGATTATTTATTGGCTCGATAGGCATAAAAAACCCCTTATTACATTTCATTTGACACAATTACTCAATGAAACGTACAAGCAATGAGTGCCTCACGTGTAGTAAATCCATCAATGCCATTAACATTTTCCACGTTTCCTAATAATTCTTCTCCATCTTCATTTTGGTTTTCAATTTCATCTTCTTCTACAAGAATGTCATTGAAAATTAGGGCTAAATTATGCAACACAGTACATGCAACTACCGTTATTGTGGAACATAAGAACTTCGTTGTTAAACTCCTTGTAAGACATGGAAAACGGCCCTTCCAAACACCGAACGTTCTTTCTACTATCTGTCGGGTCCTGATCTGGATTTCATTATACCTGTGTCGATCGAATAATTTAATGTTAATTTGTGCATCAATCAGTCGAGTAAAGAGAAGACCCCAAATATAAAACGGTATCCACATCAGACCAGTAGTTTCGGAGATATTAATTAAAAACTTTCGCAGAATACATAGAATTCTACCTATACAGATATGACTAACACAATCATCCCCGCTGTAGAAATCGTGGTCGTCGAGTGTCTAGTAGCCGATGACACAGTAGGGGGTCTCGACCTGAGTATCTATAGGGTGTCTCATATTTTATTTTGTATTTTTGGTAAGTGAGATAAAATAATTTCAATTTTTTAAAGTAATTAATCTTGCGTTCTAAGGCGGGGGAGGGGCACACCCCCGGCACCCCCGCCACGGCGAATATAACCTAACCTAACCTGCTACGGTTTTTATATCCGCAGACGAACAAAGTGTTACCTTCTGTTCGTATATGTATAACTGGCAAATTCGCCTTACATATGCCTTACATTATTGGGTAAAATTTTGTGTACAGTTGTTTGCGAATATTTCGACAGCTTGTTATTTCCATTAAAAACAAAAATCATATTCGTATTCAGCATATCAAAACGAGGAAAACGACGAGATTAATGTAAACGTGAACCACAGTTTACAAAATAATGCGCTTTATACATATAGGACACCCTGTAGATACCCAGGTCGAGACCCCCTACTGTGTCATCGGCTGCTTGACACTTGACGACCACGGTTTCTACAGCGGGGATGGTTGTGTTAGTCACGTCTGTATAGACAAAATTCTATGTATTCTGCGAAAGTTGTTAATTAATATCTCCGGAATTACTGGTCTGATGTGGATACCGTTTTATATTTGGGGTTTTCTCCCTCCGTACTCTCCCCCCTCTAAAGCCCATGTCGATTGGCCACCGGAGCAATTCGGAACTACAGCCGAAAATATATTTAATCATAAATTATGTAATTGTACATACCAAACAGAATGTAAAACAAACGACAGGGAAGCCCATGAAACAAAAGACGATTGCAATAAGACTTTATATAGCGTAAACGGCGTTACATTATCGTGGTAGCAGTTTATAATATCTATTTGTGGTTTAAAAATATAATTAATGACATCTTGGGCTTCTATGTCTCATTTTGAAATTTTAAGAACCATTCAAAATTTCAATATCTGTAATAATGGTAAATTAAAATCAAAACGTGATTCAATATGGAACGAAATTTGTTCAAATTGGAAGACAGGTTTTGGAAAATATCGGATGACTCCCGTAAGTTTGTATTTTTATGTATTTCAAGACAGAAATGCAATTTTTCAAAGTTACAAACAAATTCAAGGTATAACTGTACCTGATACCAAAGACAAATGTGCTTCTTCAAGCAAAGCAGAAGATAGTACATTTGAACATAACAAAATTGGTGACTGCGACTTTACTATACATTCACAGAATGAAAAACATCGATGTAAAGAAAAGTTATTTAATTTCCAAATTATTTTTACAAAAGAGCAGTGGATGTCAATCAAGCCAGTTGAAACTGTTGACAAAAATAAAAATTACAAATATTATTCTTTACCCAAAGGCTGGACTCATATTATCAGTACTTATACAGGGTGTTCGACAACAGGTGGACAATATTTTAAGGGGTGATTCTAGGGATCGAAATAAGACGAAAATCAAGAATAACGAAATAGCGTTTACGGCTTTGTTTTCCAGTTATTAACGTTTAAAAATTCGCGTAAAAAGCGCCAGAAACCTGCAATCCGCTCAGCACCGACGACCGAACGTCACGTCGGCAGGGGTCGGTACAGTCATAACCAAGAATCAAAACCGAATACTGCAGTACCGAGAAACAGAATAGCACGAGGTAAGTTTTTACTATTCAACGATTCTTGGTTATGATTGTACCGACCCCTGTTGACGTGACGTTCGGTCGTCGGTGCTAAGCGGATTGCAGGTTTCTGGCGCTTTTTACTTGAATTTTTAAAAGTTAATAATTGGAAAACAAAGCTGTAAACGCTATTTCGTCTAAACGCTTGATTTTCGTCTTATTTTGATCCCTAGAATCACCCCTTAAAATATTGCCCACCCGTTGCCCACAAGTCGTTCAACAAACTGATATACTACGAGCCAGGAGTGGCGTCCGCGTTTTTCTAAAACTATTAACATTCGTGTATAAATTGTTATACTACGAGCCAGGAGTGGCGTCCGCGTTTTTCTAAAACTATTAACATTTGTGTATAAATTGTTACACTTCGAGCCAGGAGTGGCGTTCCGCGTTTTTCTAAATCAAAGAACAAAAAATTTTCACATATAACAGTATCTCGATGTATTGTTCGCACCGAAATATATAAGCAGATTTCTACCAGATAACTATCTCTGTTTCTTGTCAGACAACTTAAAAATTCCCCGTCGCCCAACGAGTAGAAAGTAAGAAAGAAGTAAACAAAAAATATTGTTACACATGTTATAACAATAGTTATTAACAATAACAAATTGCATACATTTTTGCAAGTGAGATATCGCGGAAATATCTCCTATTAGATGTAAAAGGTTTCATCGCAATCGGTACATGCCTTGGAGAGTATACATGTATACAAGAAACAGTAGAGAAACGGCGACTGCATGTTGACTCATACACCGGTAGAGATACGTAGACATACGTAGAATTCAATGTAGTAGTAACAATAGTTTTTCACGAATATCTCGGAAACTAAAGCTTTCCGATAATTATGTACAATGAAAAAGTTGTTCAGAATCATGTCCCCGACAACATATTAAAAGGTTATTGAAATCGTCCAATCTTGTCATTAAAAACTTCCTGTATGTTGCAATAATAATGATAAAATAAAAATTTTTTTTTCAATGGGACCAATTGGAAGACGTACCCTACAAGATGCAAAAGGTTTCGTTCCGATTGGTCCATCCATCTGGGAGTAATCGGTGAACACACACAAAAAAAGAATACATATTGATCGAATTGAGTAATCTCCTTCTTTTCGAAGTCGGTTAAAAAGTGCGATCTTCAAGGCAGATTTGATAGAAAAATTTCAAGCATACGGAGATCAAATGCCTCCTATTATTCTAACCGGAAATGTTCTTAAACAAATACGGCAGGAAGGTTTCAATGAAACACTCGGGATAAAAGGGACCTTATGGGAATCTTTATAACATTTAAAATATAATGTGGAGTTTCGTGTAATAATTCAGCAAATTGGATTTGATAAATTTTTTGTATTCTACTGGAGTCCTGAGCAAACGGATGTGTACAACGATTTAATGACATTACATCCTACTGTTTCAACAGACGCAACAGGAAGTATTGCTCGGAAAATTAAATCTACAAACGACTACTCGAATGGACCTATATTTTTATACCAAATTGTAACGCATATTGGAAAATTAATAATGCCTGTTTGTCAAATGTTCTCTGAGCGTCATGATACAAAAATGATAGAATTCTGGCTTAACATGTTCACGCCAGTGCGTACCACCGGTGGCTCACGCTCGAGTCTCCCATCATACGGCGTGCGCCACCGCCGCACAGTGGGACAAAGCGGCTTTCGGCGATCAAAAGTCGATTTTCGTGAATTCGAAAATTGAAAAACTATTTACATACATCGATAGAGAATAAACTGTAGTTTAACGTAGGGTAATCCGTTTTTTCATATTTGCTTCCGTTTTGCCGTGGTTTGCCCGTAAAGTCAGTAGAAATTCGTCAAAACGAAACGCTGATGATATTATCCGTAACTTCAATGTACGATTCTAATGAATTTTACTCAGAAAGATAAAATTCAAATGAATTACAAAGTTTGCTAGATTAGTATAGATTCTATTCAGTGCATAAAGTAAGTTAAAATGTTAACAACTTTGTTCGGGTTTCGCATTTCTTTTCTATAATTGGTCCGAGCTGTAGGATTTAAATTTGACGCCACGAGAAGGGGGGCATGAGTGTCAGCGCCACGCTGCAATACGCAGGCGCGAGCAGTGTGGGGGTGGAAAGGACCGTTCGGGACTGGACCCGACATTCAGACGAGAATCGGTGACCTATGCACTCGTATTTTTGGTCTTTGTGCGTTTGAGATACTTTCGTGTTCTTTTTTGTGTTTTCTTTTGTATTGGGGGCGATCGGCTGACGTGCGCGAGTTTAATCGGGCGTGCGTCCTTTGCGTGTGAAGCACTGAGTGCATTTGGGGCCGTGTGATCACGGTCATTTTTTGTCCCCACTTGGCGGGACGCTTCCTGTGACCAGGAAATGCACTGGGTGCAATTTTAAGCTCGTGTGATCACGACTATTTTGTTCTCAATTGGGGAACGCCTTCTGTGATCAGGATTTATTTGTGCGAGGACCGCGACGATTGGCTGCGACGTCGGCGAGGTGCCCTAGGAGTACGGATGGTAAAGAGCTCTTGCGTGCGATAGTCATAAGCTTGAATGATCATTCAAATAGTATTTTAATCTCTAGGTTATAGTTTTACTTTCTTATATATATATTATCGTTTTGTTATTGTATTATTCTTTTATTTGTTGTAGTTTATTTTGCTTATGGAACCAGGCTTTTTCCCCACTTGAGTCTGGGGTTTTTTACAGCCGGTATCCTTTAAAGTCATTTTTTCTATATAATAAAATCATTTGTTTTTCTTTCTTATTCGTTAAAATCTAATATTGCTTGTGTTTCATTTATCCTCGGTGACCACGATCATACCTTGTTTCCTCTTCCCTTAATATTGAAATCTGATATTCGGAACAAACTTTTTAAATAATAGGATCTGATTGAAACGAAGTACATTTAACTAAAATCTCAACTTTGCGTTTGATTTTAAAAGAATGCCACAACTTGCCACATGTTTAATTATTGCTGCAGGAAAGAGTGAACCTTCCTCTATCAGAATCAGAAAAAATTGGTCGCCCCAACTTGCCCCTGTTCAAAAAAATGGCGATTGAATGAAATTACATCCATCTTGGCCGCTGCGCACGATGATGGAAAAGCAGTACCAGATACGATTATTAACTAGTTAACTGCATTGGACGTGTATATTCGTCATCCAAAACTTTATTTCGGCCTTGCAATATGCCATAATAAATTTTTATAATTGTCGAAACTATTTTCACGAATGATTTGGTATAGATCATAATAAATATAAATAAATATATTATAATAACACATGTCTTGTCATTTTTTAATTATTAATTCCGTTCCTATTATAGTTATTAACAGTTTTGAGTCAAATTTTTGTTAAATGACATAAAACATGTCTTACAAGTGAAGGATATTGAACGCGTTATACTTTATACGTGAATATTTTGACACCCTGTAGTTCAATATGATTTATATTGGTACAACTTAAGTACCATAATATAGGAAAAAACTTCCCAAAATTTCATTAAAATATTTCCAATAGAACCGAAGTTACAGAATTTTGATCGCCGAAAGCCGTTTTGTCCCACTGTGCGCCGTCCCGTCCAAGTAGGGGAATCCACTCCTGGAACATATGTTTTGGGTCCCCTTCCAACGCTGCTCCTTCAAGTAAGATGGGACCATTCCGACTACCATCTCTCCGTCTTTCCTAGCGGCGGTATTGTCTCCTCGGAGTGATGGTAGTCGGAACCGTCCCATCTTACTTGAAGGAGCAGCGTTGGAAGGGGACTTCTTGGGTGGTGCCTCCAATTTTCATTACATTCTTATCATAGGTTATTATACGAGGTTCATCGCTTTTAATTAAACTTGGGGTTTGTATAGTTCGTGTTTCATGTCTATCACAGAGAATGTCTAGTGTTAATGGTTTATCTGGTATTAATATACAAACATTTGGTTGTTCAAGAGGTATAAATGTAGCGTCTATAATTTTGAATACGGAGAATGGGCATGTGTTAATTTTGTTTTTGTTGTTAACTACCTCAATTTGACAATCTTGTGTTCCTAATTTACTATGCGTGGGTTGATTAAGTTTACAAATTTTTGAATATATCCATAGTCAGTAGGAATATATTGCTCTTGCGTAGTAAATATAATTTCATGTTTGATTACTGGAGCCACAAAAATTTTGTCTCTCCTTGAGGGAATTGGATAAATTTTAGTGACTTTCCACTCTGTATCATCCAAAATAGGAGTTATTATTGTATATACAATTTTTCCATTGTTGATTCAAAGTTTTAAATTACTAATATCAAATAGGGTTTGAAAATTTTCGAGAGTTGGTTGAATATGATTATAAAGAAAGTGGGTTTTAATGATTTTATCAAATGTTTCCAAAAATTGTTGTGGCAATCTACAACCTGTAGATTGATTATTCCTTGTTTACCTAGTGTAACATCCCGCAGGAAGAAGAATAAATAAAAAAAAAAACCACCATTATTAATTATTAAAATATATATTTATTTTTTTTAGTTTTTATACAATCAAGGTTATAACACTTCGTTTTATTATTATTGTATTAACACGATTCAGATCGACAATTATATTCATATTTAACAAATAGGAAAAGAATGTTGTATTTATACTTAACAAAATTTATACTTAAAAAAATACATCGATAATTCTACCACGTCGATAAAAGATCGACGCGGGATATATAGATAGAGATAGGAATAACACGTAGAGAGAGATAGAAATAGAGCGCAGAATAAAGAAAGATAGCACTACGCATAGACAGAGACAGCGATACGCGCGGAGTCACGTACACTCCGGTCAAAGTCCAAACACTTCCGGTATCGAAAACGCGTATAGAAAAAACTGCTACGTAAGCAAATCTCGGGTATAAATACGAGCGTGCCGCGAGGAGCATGTCCACTTCGATTCTGATCGTAGTCCGACACGGATCTATGATACGATTACTACACAGGTTTCCAGTAGCTTAGATTCTTTTGTCGGCGAGGCGGCAAAGGTTCTGTGTCAGACCCGGAGCGCCCGACCACCGGTTCGCGGCGGTTCTCATATGTGTCAGGTTCGCTACCAAGCTTAACGAGCGAGCGAAAGCCGAAGCTCCTTGGATGCGGCCTATTAGTACACTGGCTCTAGAGCGACGATACCATCCTGCAGTGTTCGCAACCAAGCTTAACGAGCGAGCGAAAGCAGAAGCTCCTTGGATGCGGCCTATCAGTGACGGCTAAGTTGCTCAGAAATCGCACTGCAGCCGAACGGGTTAGCTCCTACAGTGTCGGAACGGATCCACGCCAACTCCTCGACAATCGAACAATTTATTTGAATAATTTTATTTTTTTGTTATAAACTCAAGTTATAGATTTAGAATTTTTATAATCGTATCTAGAGACGCGTTCACTAATCAATTAAATTTTTCTTTGTATTTTATTTTAGGTCAAACGCGATTGTTATTTTTCTTTGTATTTTTTTATATACAGGGCGCACTCATTGTAACTAATATAATTAATTTTCCTTTTGTATTTCAAGAACAGGGCGCAACATTTGTACAGGGTGTAAAAAAATTAAATGTCACGACCTATATAGGGTGATTCTACACCTCTGGATCGGTGGAGATCTGTCAAAGAAAGCGACTGCAAAATTGACCTTGACCCCTAATTTCAAGGTCAAACTTTTTTATTGGCTTATCGTATAGTGCTCATCGAGGGGATAAAAAGTCTGAAAGGAACCATGTGCCGGAAATCAACCCTTCTCCTAGAAAAAAGCCGTCAAAGTTTCCATATACCATAATGCATTAAACGTTGAGTCGCCCGGTACCCCTCTGCAGTGATCTTGGCGCGGCAGTCTCGCGTATCGCTCGAGTTTCATGCTATAGGACAATTCTTGAATTTCAATCACAATGCCAGCATATAGGAAGGGTAAATTCTAAGAGAGCATATTTAAAAAGACAAAATAACGACTGCGTGTAAAAAAAAATAAAAGAAAATAAAAGAAAATAACTGCGATGTGTTAACGAACTGTGAAAGGATAAAACTAAACATTTATCTTGCGTTTATATTCGAAGTGCAAAACTTCAGTGAATTAAATTCATTCTTATTTTCTTTTACACGCAGTCGTTATTTTGTCTTTTTAAATATGCTCTCTTAGAATTTACCCTTCCTATATGCTGGCATTGTGATTGAAATTCAAGAATTGTCCTATAGCATGAAACTCGAGCGATACGCGAGACTGCCGCGCCAAGATCACTGCAGAGGGGTACCGGGCGACTCAACGTTTAATGCATTATGGTATATGGAAACTTTGACGGCTTTTTTCTAGGAGAAGGGTTGATTTCCGGCACATGGTTCCTTTCAGACTTTTTATCCCCTCGATGAGCACTATACGATAAGCCAATAAAAAAATTTGACCTTGAAATTAGGGGTCAAGGTCAATTTTGCGGTCGCTTTCTTTGACAGATCTCCACCGATCCAGAGGTGTAGAATCACCCCATATAGGTCGTGACATTTAATTTTTTTACACCCTGTACATTGATTACATTAATTCTTTATATTATTTTCATTACTTACATTTTTATATAACTCAAATAATTACTTACCTTTTCTTTTTATACACATATTATAAACAAACACAACACACAACTTTCTTGAATAAACACTCATTACGATTTTTGAGAAAGGAATTAACGTTGGATTTCACTCCTTTACCGCGCACCACCCGAACGTATGATCCCTTCATTATTTTGTTATTTACGAGTCGCCTTCTCATAGGGAACCGCTCTCCCTACGCGGTCGGTGCAGTAGCGTACTCGCGATAATAATTCCGGGACGTTACACTAGTATAATCGTGTTGATTAGTTCATCGAGATTTACATGTAGTTCGGAAAGGACAAATTCTGTGTGTATAATTAAAGAGCTGATTATTTCTTCGTTTTGTACATGTCTTGGAGTTCGTCAAGTTTTGTTTGAATTTGATAGATAGATTGAACATTAGAATCGTCTAATACTTGTTTAATAAGGGCTGATTGATTAGAGACGATGATTTTTAATTTGTTATTCGAGTCAAATAGTTTGTCCATGTTTTCGTTAATTATCGTTAAATCGTTTTCATCTAGAGTACCCAAAAAAGATTTGGATACTGAACCAACTATATTTAATAAACCACGTCTATGAATAATTCTTAACATTAATTTCAATTGAGCAATCATTTTTTTGTATTGTTACGAGTTCGTTTACTAAATTTTGAATTTCTGTTTTGTACGCGCATTTATTACAATGTTTTGATAGACCTTTTAATGATTCTGCAATAACTTCGGGTTGTTTTAGTAGGTAGTGTGGATTGATAATAATAGATATAGATACTTGATTAGTATATAAGTAACAATTGTCGATGTGTTCTAAAAATACTGTCGAATTATTTAAAGGTTCGGCATCTAATTTACAGTAGATTGTTCCAATGAAGTAGAACAAGAGGGTAAGGGTCGTCGGCCTGAAATAAAAAGTTTTAATCGATTACCATGTACCTTTAATTGTCGATTCTCCGATGGAAAATGAATAGTATACGTTGGTGGAGAGGCCTGTATTATTTCTGCAGGTCCTAACCATTCATGATCGAGTTTATTTCGTTTATGATCGTTATGTAGAAGAACTCGATCACCTATTTTGAATATAGTCTGTAATTTTATAATTTTTCTGTCTTGATCTCGTTTATAGCGAGCTTTGTTTCTGTTGAGTGTTTTTATTGCCTCAGAAATGTACGTGTCGTGTCGTCTCTTCCAAAGTTTAAAT